TAATTCTTTTTTATTTCCAGCACCTTGTAATGCCGTGTATTAAGATTTAAGGGGTAGTTAGGCAACAAACTAGATAGAATAGATTTCATTTGGAATGGATTGACTACAAGGATGAACTTCGCGTATATGGCAATTAAAATTTTCATTATTTCAAATATACCTTTATTAGAGTTGCTAAATTTGACGTTAAGAAAATATTTCTTTAAATATGTTTTACTTCCTAATGTTGAAGGACAGAATAGCCGAATCCTTTTTTTTGGGCAGAATCTCCTCAATAATTTTAGGTCTTCCTTACTCGTTAGCATATTCGATCATAATAGATTGGTGCATATGGATGTCCGCACATGATCAATCTTTTCTTTGTCATTTTTTCTCATCTTTTGAGTGCTACTTGCACCTTGTGTCACCTATGATCATTTTTAAATTTATTAAAATTTCATATAATTGTGCATCCATCTAAAATTCTACATATCTGTAATTCTACCATATTTATCTTGTAGTTTGTTTAGTTTTAGTGGCTCAAACTTTTCTATGTAAAAAATAAGCTATAATGAAGATCAAGTGTAAATGACCAAGCACATAGATTAGGCCGATCTGCCAGCGAGAAACTTGTCTTTGTGTGGTGCCGTCGAACCAATTATTTAATATTAATAGATGCCAAATTTAATTCGTTTTAATAAATCTATTTATCTCCTTCCATTTGAGACAATAATAATTTTAAAAAAAATTACTCCGCTTCAATTTAGAGGAGTTAGTTTGACTTGACACGGAGTTTAAGGATTTTTTTTTTTGAAACTTCTGGTCTTAAAAGCTTAAGGGGTATAAGTTTTGTGGGATCATGATATTTATGTGGTTATAAAAGCTTCTCATTAAGCGTAAAATGAAAAATTTAAAATTAATCTTTTTCTATTAAAAAAAATATCATTCTTTTTGGAATGGACTAATAATAAAAGTGTGTCATCTAAATTAAAATGAGGGAGTATAAAAAAAGCAAAACAAAATAAAAGTAAATTCAACGTCGTGTAGGAATGTCAGAACTCAGAACTCAGAAGGGAAACATAGTATAAAGTTTTATCCAATGAGACCCAAAAAGGAGGATTCGCTGACTAGGATTTGTGTCACTCTCAATTCTTGGTTATGGTAATAGATAAGCTTTGACCAATTCTCCTATTCCTTGTATATTAAATTTGCTCTTTTTCACCAATAATCAATTTTTTCCTTTTCTAGAAACACTGTAACAACCGTCTCTACTATATTATTCACCTCAAATTAAACAACATAATACCAGCTAGTTTTCACAAGTAGGGTGTTGAAAGAGTAATGTGTACGCGGATATTATCACTATTTTGTGAAGGTAGAAAAGTTATTTCCGACAGATACTCAATTCAAAAAAGTCATATAAAGAGAAATAGTAATCAAATCCAGAAAAATAAATAAAAGATAAAAATATAAAATTTCTTTTCATGCAAGAATTCTTAGGCACTAAAATCCTCGAACACAGCCAATGGCCTCACTTGTCTATTTCATAAGATTAACATAGCATTCATGTTATCAACCCCAAATTAAGAGAGAAAAATAAAAGATTGTTTATTTTAATCCAAGAATTGTTAGGTAGTAAATCCTTAAAAACAGCCAGTGTCCCTCTTGTCTTAGATTAACATAACTTTCTATATTATCCTCCTCAAGTTAAAAGATAAAAAGAACAAATTTTGTTAATCCAAGAATTGTTAGGCTCTAAAATCCTCAAAAAACAATCAATGGTCCCACTTATACATTTCATCATAGAATAACAATAACTTTCTCCCCATCTCAAAATTATTAATGGATAATGTTGACACCTTTGTCTCCTCCAACCCCCTTACCTATAAATACTCATCAAATCTCTAACAAAATATATCATCTTTTCTCCCAAACTATATCATCTTTGTGTGCTTTCTCAACACCATTTGCTTTTATTCTTGATTTTGTTTGAGCAGAAAGAAAACAAAAAATGTTGGCAATTTTCAAGAAAAGTGTGGTTGATCCACCAAAGGAACTGCAGAGTCCAGCCTCTTTGCAAATATCAAACAAGGCTGCATCACCTCAAGAGACAATGAAGAATTTCTTAGCTTCAAATTCCAACGATGGGTTTTCCATTGGATTCATGGATAAGGCATTCTTGGCCTATTCCAAACCTCCACCTTCATCAAATCCTCAACAAAGGTATTACATTCCTTCTTGAGATGTGACAATGAAGGGCTTTTTTCACTTTATAAAATTTGTATAATTTTTGTATGTAACATACAGAATGTATATATATACAAGAAATATATATCTTTTTGGCTATTATTTTTAGAGGGCTATATCATAAAGATTAAATTATTCACTAGTCATTAGAAAAACGTAAAGTGGGGTGTTACAACAATGGCGTTTTGTTGTTGAATTTTCCAAAATTTGTCATTTTGCAGCTTCTTATTGTTAATAATGTGACAAAGGTGTGAACTTTTTTGTTTTTCCAGGTTGTTCTGTGGGTTGAATGACATATACTGCATATTCTTGGGATGTTTGAACAATTTATGGGCACTAAACAAGCAGTATGGGCTATCAAAGGGAGCCAATGAGGCAATGCTTGTGAGTGAAGCATATCGAACACTTCGGGACAGAGGTCCATTCCCAGCTCATGAGGTCCTCAAGGGTCTTGAGGGAAGCTTTGGCTTTGTGATCTATGATCACAAGGCGGGTAATGTCTTTGTTGCCCTTGTAAGTTCTTCTCTAATTCTAAATTTTATGTATATGGGTCCGTTTGCGCATACCTCGGTTATTTCGTGGAGTATCTGACAGATTAGTCCCCCAAGGCTTAGGTAGATAGTAATAAATTACCAAGCATTTTTTGTTTTTCCTCGGACCCTGGTCTCCCATGATTTTCATCCAGCTTCATTGATTGTTAGGCCACACAATCCCCATAAACATACATTATGCATCTAAAGAAAGTGTATATATTTTCTATAAATGCATGTAAAAACTAGCTTCTTAAGTGATTGGAGATGGGATGACGGTGGTGATATCAATCTTGGAAAGGAAGCAAATACAATAGATCATTTATTCTATTCTATTTAGACATAATGTATTTTTTTTTTCATTTAACTCAATATCATGAATGGTGTCTATGTATAGGGTGCTGATGAAACAATGAAGCTGTTCTGGGGAATAGCATCTGATGGATCTGTCATGATCTCTGATAATGTGGATCATATCAAAGCAAGCTGTCTCAAATCATTTGCTCCCTTCCCAACTGGTATGTAGTTCATATTTAGAACATATTTAAAGACAATGGCTTTATTCTTTTACAAGTGTTGCGCTTGCCACTAGCAGGTGCAGAGCTATAAGCTCGACTACGGGTTCGGCCGAGTAGCTTTTGCTCAAACAGTGTATTTGTGTTAAGAAATTTATTAAATATCTACAAATATTAAATTCAGAACCCAGTTATTAGCATTTGAATTCATCGTTCGAAAATCCATAACCCACAAAGTTGAAATCCTGACTCCGCCTCTCCCACAAGACTGAAAATTTCTCTTTTTAAATGAGAAAGCACATGAGTTGTCCAAACAAAATTTGATTTTTGATGGGATGGACTTTTTTGGCAGGGTGCATGTACCACAGTGAAAGTGGATTAAAGAGCTTTGAGCATCCAAGTTACAAGATGAAACCAATGCCAAGAGTGGATAGTGAAGGAGCAATGTGTGGAGCTTATTTCAAAGTTGATGTCTACTCAAAGGTGAATAGCATGCCAAGAGTTGGAAGTTCTGCCAACTGGGCTACTTGGGGCCAGCAGGCTTAGATAATCTCATTCTTAACTAACTACTATATAAAGAAGAAAGAAGAGAAGTACTTTATCTTTGTCTTCATTCCTGTTGTTATTTTCTGATTTCCTATTGTATTTTTCAATAAGCTTCCTGCATCTTCCATAAGGGCCTCAGCTTTGTAAATTTCACTTGAGGTTCCAACATGAGAAGATTGTTGAGTTTCCCTTTCTGTTTGTTTGTTCAGTTTTAAGTGTTCAAAAAGTAATGAGCAATTAGCACATCTTTTATGTTGTTTGTAATGACAATCAAGATGCAATGACCATGTAGTTATTTCCTTCACCATATTTGTGCTAAACCTGTTTTAGTTTCTGTGTATATTAGCCCCACCCTCAAACCATTTCAGACACCTATAAACTATCAAGAGATAGATAGATGACTAGTCACTAACATGAGTGAACAATTTGAATTTGAAGCTTACAAGGGAGGATGCACAGAGAGCAGAACAGGTCATCTCATCTATGTCACCAGATGAGTTGGAAAGAATGGTGAGATGGGCAGCAAGGATTCAAACAGCGATACAAGTTCTCAAGATTACCAAAGATTTTGTCATGGAAAATCCTGGCATGAGTTTGGCAATCTTTTTGCCCATTTTAGCAGTATTCCTTCATCTGCTTGGCTACATCTGAGATTTTTCTCTTCTTTTCATTTTTTTGGGGCATATTAGAAAAATTCATTTTTTTTATCAGTAAATAAAATTCTATTTAGAAACAGCACTAAGATAGTGCTGATATGTACAATATAGCATTTCAAGAAACTCATACTCCTTAACTACTCTTGCTAGGACTTGAAATCTAATCATAAAACATTTCCTTTTTACACTAAAAAGCTGGAGAAGGGCCGGACCACAAGGATTTATCGTACGCAGCCTTACCCTACATTTCTGCAAGAGCTGTTTCCACGGTTCGAACGTGTGATCTCCTGGTCACATGACAACAACTTTACCAGTTACGTCAAGGCTCCCCTTCTTTTTTACACCAAAAAGCTAACAAAGAAAAAGCTCTGAAAGCTTGAGCTAGACTGCAGTTTGCTTTCAAAACATCTTTGGTTTCTCTCATTCCAAATCATCCACCAGACACAGGCCGTGATAGTGTCTAGATCACCTTTGAACTGTTACCTTGTTCGCTTTAAGCATTCGGTATTCAAAACCCACTAACCTGATTAATCCGGACTCGTGCTGGTAGGCCTACTAAGGGAGTAAAAGGCTCCCCACCAAGAAGTCTTCAATTCCAATACCTGAACTGTTACCAAGTCCTCTGCTACCCCGTTCAGTAATAGCTCCTTGGCAGTCTTAGGCATGACCTTCCAAGGTAAAAATACAAAGAAACACTTCATATATGTATTGCAGTTGCGTAGAGAAAGTACCTTTACGTCACAACTGTTAGTAAACTGTATTTGTAAACTAATTCTGGAAAAGATAAAACAACATAAACAGAAGTATAAACGAAACAAAAATTAATCCGAGCCCACTGAATTCACAGTGTTTCCTTAAGGAATTTAATCCCCTCCTAGTACTCAAGATTATGGATTATTTCCTCCCAGGATAGAACGAATTACACACTGGTGTAATGGTACTTCAAACCCCAGTGTTTCGGCGAATACAAAGTTCGGTAGCAAATCACACTTACTGTTGCTTTCTTTGAAGTTAAAACAATGCAGAAGAAGGAGAAGAAACTCAGAAAATCGTATGGAAAATCTGAGAGAATGGACTTGTATTTATAGCCAATGTTGGGCTAAAATCTGAAGAGGTGCAACTCTTCAGAATGGTTGTTTATGCAAAACGGTCACAACATAAATGCCATGACATAAATGGCTATTTACTCAACAATAAAGAGGTAAAATAAAGAGGGAAAATTGAAGAGGGTAGTTAATTTTCTGTTACCAAAACAGAAAATGGAAAAATGGAAACGGTTGGATTTTAATATTAATATTTTGTTATTAAAACGGATATTTAATAACATTTCTGTTAACATTTACTATTAACAAACAAATTTGGTCCAAAAAATTAATCAATCAATCATTTGACCAAATCCGAAGCCGAAGTCGAGCAACGACGACGGCGGCGCGAGGCTTGCCTTCTTCTCAACTTTTTAAGAGCTAGAAGAAAAACAATTGCTTACATGCCCATTAAAAAACTCTTCCTCTTCCAATATATGAACTTAAAATTTCACTTAAAAATTTCATTTCCCTCCATTTTCCATTCACCGTCTTTTAAGCCATATTAATGCTTAAAACCCAACAACAACAACAACCCAGTAAAATTCCACCAGTGGGGTCTGGGGAAGGTAGAGTGTATGCAGACCTTACCCCTACCCCAGAGGAGGTAGAGAGGCTGTTTCCGGGAGACCCTCGGCTCAGAGATAATAGCTCTGTGACAACAAAACCGCTTTTACGTCCCAAGTACTTAATAGATTACCTTCCGTTGATAAATATAGGCTTATGGCCATTCGCAGGAGTTTAGTAAGCTAATTTCACCACAAGAGAGAATCTGCAACAGAATTTTTGCATTTCTTCAGCAATTTCAAACTAAAGAGATTATTTTTGTTTCTCCAGACTGACTTTCCCTTTTAACCTTATTTGCCTTATAACTATGCATAGAGGCATTTAAGGCAACCTCTTACTAATCCTCATTCCTATTGTTATATCCTTCTTTGCTGCTGCTTCATCTTCATTAAGACTTTCCTTTGCTTATCCTTTGATAATCACACAAACAAGGAGTACATGAAGAAACGAAGAATAAGAAAATTGAACCATCCAAGTCACCGCAGTGAACTACATGATATTGCAACCTTCAAGCCAATCGCGTGTTTCAATAGCCTCTGCAAGAGAACAGGTATCTATTTCAATTCATTGAGAAAAGATGCTGGAACATCCAAGCTACACTAAATTGAAGGGGAAAAAAAGAATATGTAGGTAATATACATGTGGTGAATTGTTCCTAGATATTATTGCTAACTTACCATTTATGATGTGAGAGTTGTGAATCTTCATATTGAGTCCATCATTTTCCATATACTGCTGTTGTTCTCGCTGAATTCTTTTGGCAGAATCATTAGCTGATGATCCACATCCATACAACTCAATCAGTTCCAAAGTTGGTATATCACCTATACCAACAGGAATCTCGATTAGATTCTTGCAATTATACAGCAGGAGGCACTCAAGATTTGGGAAATTTATGTCACTGGCTTCCCAATACATTAGATCTGTTTTACCAAGAAGCAAAAATTTCAGCTTAGGAAAAACCATTTCATTTGTTTCCCATTTTGCTCCTTGGAAAACAAATTTCTTCAGTTTGAGCACTTGAAGTTCTGGTAATGAACTAAGAACTAATATTTCTTCCCAGGGACGATGGCTCCCACTCAAAGTTAATTTCTTGAGGGTTGATGGGAAAAAGTTTTGAAGCGGAATTCACATTGGGTTGACAAATCTGCACTTGAGTGTCTCCAACCCCTCTATACAGTTGAGATTGTTAAGATAATATGACATCTGCTCGTCAGTCATAGACTCCTTTTCAGTTTCATGAATTCCGAGTTTTTTTTAACTTGGGAAATGCAAGCAAATACTTCCGTAGAACAACTACCAAAGCTTATATAGGAAAGAGTCTGTAGGTCTAATAGGACTTTGGAGCTTTTTCCATCAACTAGTGCTGATGCAACCATGGGATCAGGCATTGTGCAGCCCCTGGTCAAACGGACATGCCTTAATTGTGCCATATTCCATGAATCTGCTGGTAGAGCTAGACCTTCTAGGTGAGAAGAGATAATCAGTATCTTCAAATGACAGAGTTCAGAAATACATGAAGGCAGCTCATCATAACAGTTGAGCGTGAGATACCTCAGATTAACCAATTGTGCTATTTCCAGAGGAAACGTGAAGAACATACTCGAACCTAGGTCCAGAACTCTCAGTAGTTTGAAGCCCAGATAACCAATGATAGACCTTAACTGAGAAGTAAATGGAGGAAGTCCAGCTCCAATACAACAGAGAAAGGAATAAGTAAAAGGAACAGAAGGCCTTTGCTCGGCAATGGCCACCATCTCAGAATGCAAAATGAGGCGTCTGTTGGAATATGCTTCCCCTGGCAAGACATCAACATGATCGCTCACAACGTACAAGAAGTTCTCTTTTTCAGCTTCTCTTCGTACTGAATCCCTCAAGAGATCATGGATACAACATGTTTTTACTCTGCCATTGAACCTCCTCTTAATCACCATTGCTAAATTTCGACTCACTAGATCTCTTAAATACTCCTCAGCAATCTCTTCTAAGTTCTTTGACTTTGTCCCTTCTATGAATCCTTCTGCAACCCATAAGTTAATCAACTTCGATACAACAATCATACTGCTTTAGGAAACGCGCACATATAAAGAAAGCAAGTCTTCAAGGGATGAGGCAAGTAGTTATAACTCAAAGCAAATAAGCTTAGGAATTGATCTGATTCTCCAGATATAACTGAATGAGCATCATTTGAGACATTCTTCCAGTTGTGTAATGTCTTGTTGGTCTTAGAGAGAAGACCAGCTACCACAACAATCCCTAATGGAAGTCATTGACATCTTGAGACAATCTCCATTCCAACTTTCTCGAGTTCACGAGGGCTAGACTCTTTGCCAAACACCTTTAGGTTGAGTAGCTTCAAAGCTTGATCCATGCTAAGTAAACTCATCAAATGAGGAGAGCTTTTAGAGCTAGCAAAAAGATCAAGTCTACAGGTTAAAACAATTCCACTTCCATTTTTGTCGTCTGGGAAAGATCTTTTCACATCATCCCAAACCTCAATACACCAAACATCATCCAAGACAATAAGAAAACGCTTAAATTTCAGGCTTTTGTATAACTGTTCAGCTAATTCATCATTGGTTTTTGCATTGGCATCAGACAGATCAGTGACACAGCGCAAAATGCCCAATAGCATTTTCCTAACCTGATACTCTTGGGAGACAGTAATCCAAGCGCGGATGTCAAAAGGATTCACCAAGCAAGGATCATTATAAGAGGCTCTGGCAAGAGCAGTTTTGCCTATTCCACCCATACCTACTATTGGGACAATATTGAGTTCAGATGACAATCTAATGAGTCGACACCTGATTCTTCCCAAGTGATCATTGAAGTCCCAAAATCTGTTTTCTTGATGTGAAACTTGTTCTGATGAATTACCAAGCAAGTGTTGGGATCGAAATAACATGGTGCATACGGAAGCTAACAATACAAAGCTTGGTGAACGATAAATCACACGATAAAAGAAAAACATACTAAACTAAGCATAATAGTTTATAATGGTTTGATCAATTGATCCACATATGATAAAACTAATATAAAAGAAAAAAAATTATAGAGAGAAAAATCTCCCCCTAAACAAAACTCTTTAATGACTACATTGTGGATATTTTTTTTGGTTGTCTTGTGAGAAGCAGAAATCTTTAATTTATAGATGTGCAAAACTTGTCTTCCAAGCAAAGGATAAGACATATTAAGGAGATTTAATCCTTTTAGGAGTCTTTTTTCATTCCTTCAAGAAAGAGAGTCCTAATAGATTAGAAATTCACGACAAATCCTAACAGTAAGTGTTGGGAAGCGTGTCAAGCTAATAGAAGGAAAAGAATATTTAAGAGAGAAAAGCAATAAATTGCACAAACAAGACAAGACAAGATTTACGTGGTTCGGCAATTTTTGCCTACTCCACGGCCACACAAAGAATAGCTCTTTATTAATTGAAGAGAGAAAGAAGAAGTTTTGGGATGATCTACAAATGAAAATGTAGACCCCTATTTATAAGCATTTGAATGCCCTGCCGAGGTAAGCGCTTACATCATAAGAATGCCGATGTAAGCGCTTACATCATAAGAATGCTGAGGTAAGCGCTTACATCACAAGAATGTCGATGTAAGTGCTTACATCATATTTTCATCTCTTTTTGATTTTTCTTTCTTTTGTTTTGTCTACTTTCACATACAACAATAGGTTTGGTCCTATCAATCTCCCCCTCAAACCTATGTTACATCAAGAAAGAAAAAAAAAGATTTGCTATTCTCTAGTGGCGCCTTCACGCTATCAGTCTTGAAGGCTAACTGAGGCAGTGCACAGCCTCAGTTTGTCAACACCGACAATTTCGGTCAACATGTCTGACGGGTTCTTTGATCCTGATATCTTCTGCAGAGAAAGAGTTCCTTCATTTATCAACTCTAGGATATGATGATACCTCAACTGGATATGCTTCGATCTTGCATGAAACACTGGATTCTTGGCAAGATGAATTGCACTCTAGCTATCGCTGAAAAGCTCACAATTGTCCTACTCTTTACGAAAATTCTTGAGCCAAATTATCTCTTTTCCAGCTTCTGAGATTGCCATGTACTCTGCTTCAGTGGTAGATAAAGCAACACTTTTCTGAAGTCTGGACATCCAACTAACAGCAGTACCACCCAAGATGAACACGTAGCCCGTGGTACTTTTTCGACTATCCAGATCGCCGCCTAAATTTGCATCAGCAAAATCTTGTAAGATAATATTGCTCTTTTTAAAACAAAGTGCCATACCTGAGGTGCCTTTGAGATATCGCAATATCCATTTTACACCTTCCCAATGCTCCTTTCCTGGATCTGACATGTATCTACTAACAACTCCAACTGCATGGGCTATGTCAGGTCCAGTGCAAACCATAGCATACATCAAACTTCCTACTGCTGAAGCATACGGAACTTTGGACATGTACTTCCTTTCTTCATCTGTCTTAGCTGATTGGTCTTTTGACAGATTTAGATGGCTTCCGAGTGGAGTGCTTCTGGTCTTTGCATCATGAAGATTGAACCTGCTTAGTACCTTTTGTATGTACTTTTCTTGAGACAACTTTAAGGTTCCTTCCGACCTGTTTCTGCTAATCCTCATCCCAAGCATTTGCTTAGCTGGTCCTAAGTCTTTCATTTCAAACTCCTCCGCCAGTTGTTGCTTGACCAAATTGATCTCATTTATGCTAGATGCTACAATTAGCATATCATCAACGTACAATAGTAAAATGATATAGTATTCAGCAAGATTTTTGATATAACAGCAATGGTCCATCTCACATCGTGTAAAACCATTTTTATGCATGAATCCATCAAATTTCTTGTACCATTGTCGGGGAGCTTGTTTCAAACCATACAAACTCTTCTTCAACTTACACACAAGGTTTTCTTTACCAAAAACTTGAAAACCTTCAGGTTGCTTCATGTAGATGCATTCTTCAAGGTCACCATGCAAGAAACAGTTTTAACATTTAGCTGCTCCAAATGCAAATTTTCTGCAGCTATGATACTTAGCACCAACCTGATAGTAGTTAATTTGACTACAGGAGAGAAGATCTCGGTGTAGTCAATTCCCTCCTTCTGCTGAAAGTCTTTTACTACTAATCGTGCTTTGCATCTCTTCTTACCATTATGCTCTTCCTTGACTTTGTACACCCACTTGTTCTACAATTCCTTCTTTCCTTTTGGTAACTCCGTAAGTATCCATGTTTTATTCTTTTGAAGAGAATTCATCTCTTCTTTCATAGCTAGCTTCCACTTATCAGAGTCTATCATCTGCATTGCTTCAACAAAATGCTCTGGTTCTCCAGCATAAGTTAGAAGTAAATAGTTAAGAAAGAGATTTAACCTATCTGGAGCATTCGTGACTCTTTTAGATCTCCTCAATGTAGGTTCATAAGTAACAGAATCCGAATTTGATTCAGGTCCTGATTCCAGATTTGGTTCTGCATTTGATTCTATCTCTGGTTCCAGTTCTGGTTCTGATCCAGGTTTGGCTTCTAGTTCTTCTTCTAACTCAACTGTTTCAGACATTGTCTGTTTGCTGGTGTTGGTTGGCTCTACTTCAAGCTTGTCCTTGTACATCACATTTTCATTAAATGTGACATTCCTGTGTCTTAGGATATTTCTATTCTGATCATCCCAAAATCGATAACCAAAATTATTATCACCATAGCCAATAAAGAAACAATTCTTTGCTTTAGGATCAAGCTTATCTCTATCATTAGAGTTTACATGCACATAAGCAACACAACCAAAAATTTTCAGATGTGAGAGAGTTACCTCCTTTCCCGTCCATACCTCCTCTGGAATTTCAAAATTCAGCGGTACAGAGGGTCCTCTATTATGAGGTAAGCTGTCGTGTTAACAACCTCAGCCCAAAAATACTTCGGCAATCCAAAATGTATTCTCATACTTCTGGCTCGTTCATTCAGGGTTCTGTTCATCCTCTCAGCAACACCATTTTGTTCCGGTGTTCCAGGAACTGTCTTGATCATTCTATTCCCATTCTCCGAGCAAAATGCTTGGAACTCTTGCCTATCATACTCTCCTCCATTGTCAAACTTTAGACATTTTAACTTTAAACTTGTCTGATTTTCAACTTCAGCTTTCCATCTTTTAAAGGTAACAAACACATCAGATTTATTTTTCAGAAAATAAACCCATACCTTTCTTGTGGAATCATCAATGAAGGTGAAATAATAGCGCGGGCCTCCTAGAGAAGTTACAGGAGCTGGTCCCCACACATCTGTATGCACTAGTTCCAGCTTCTCTTTCTTTGGCGTCCTTCCCATCTTTGAGAAACTAACTCTCTTTTGTTTCCCGTAAATGCAATCTTCGCACAAACCTAATTCAACATGTTTTAGGTTTGGAAAATTTTCTTTGGATGCCAAAAGCTTCATTCCCTTCTCACTTATATGCCCGAGCCTCCGGTGCCACAATGTTGTATCACGACCATGATCAATTGTTGCTATAGTATCTTTTTGTATTGCAGTTGCATACGGTGTTCCCCTTTTTAAGCCTCGTGCCGCAACCAAATTCCCTTTGGTTATCTTCCACGATCTGTTGCCGAATGTTGTTGTATATCCTTCGTCGTCAATCTGACCCATAGATATCAGATTTTTCTTGAGGCCAGGAACATGTCGTACATTTTGCAATTTCCATAGCGTGCCTTGTGAAGTCTTTATATGAACTTCACCTTTTCCGGCAATGTCGAGAGGTTCGCCGTCTGCTAGATAAACTTTCCCAAATTTTCCAGCAATATAATTATGCAATAATTCTTTGCATGATGTAGAGTGAAAGGATGCACTTGAGTCCAGAATCCAAGATTCGACTGGACTGTCTACACAATGAATTAGTGCATCACCGACTTGTTCAACAATTACATTTGCTGAATTTTCTTCCTTCTTCTTCTTTAGTTCTCTACACTG